AGATTTCAGGCTGAAATTTTTATCACAAGGTGCCCAGCCCAAGATACATCTACACTGAAAATTTCGTTAAGATTCGATGTTCTATGGCAAAAATAAAATTTTGGGTGGGGGGTGGGCCTTAACAAACCTTTGTTATATGTGGAGATTTCAATGCAAAACATACTACTTGAAATTGTATGTCGAATAATATAAATGGAAATCATTTTGTATCATGGTTAGAACAGACAGGAAACGAGATGATCTTTCCATCTAAACCTACTTCTCGTCGTTCAGAAGCTGTAATTGATTTTGGAATAACTCACAATGCTAATGGATGGACTTGTGAAACACTTGATGAAGGAACTTCTCACCATTATCCAGTTTTTTTCCAATCTCCTTAGTCTTTTTCAAGTAACTTCTCTTTTCGTAAAACAAACTGGAATATTTTCACAATATTTCTTCAGTGCGTGTATGAATATTGGCTCTCTCTAGTGTATAATTTTGAGGAACAAACTTTCGTTTCTTTATTTTCTCAATTTATAGCTGCATTGTGGGATAGATGTAGCACATATGAAGATACTAAGACGTATAGGAGACCGTGGCCACATTATCTTGTCCGAATGGTTAGAAATATGAATCGAAGAAGAAGAATATATAGAAGGGAAAAATCTCAAATTCATTTAAAACATTTTATTATTGCTGAAGAACTATTTCTCATTGAAAGAGTATCATATTTACAAGAAACAAGGAAGCTGAGATTAGAATGGATGAGAGAAGGTCAGAATATATGGAAAATTGCGCGACCATATTTTCAAATGTATACACCAGCTTTTCGTGGTTTATTATTGTCTACTGGAAAAGAGAGAGACCCTCAAAAAAGTGGTTTATATCTTAGGTGATTTTTATGATACACACTTTTCTGAACCGAATTTCGACCCATCTAATGCTTGTCATAGAAGATTTTTAACAGTTTACACTCAAATTGCCTATACACCTGATATACCACTTAAAAAAATTACATATGAAGAGGTTATCCATGAGTGGGAAAAGTTTCTACCAAAGAAATCAACAGATAGTACAAATACATCTGCTTTTCTACTTAAAAAGTTTCCTTCAAAGTATTTGGAAATTATTACAATTCTTTTTGATAAATGTGCCAAAAAAGGAACGGTTTTTAAAGCAAGTAAGCATGCGAAGGTCATTTGTTTATCCACAGATGGAATGTATCCTGCTTTAGGCAAATTAAGACCAATTTCTCTATTACCAAATATCGGCAAATGGTTCGAAAGAATAATACATCAAAGGATTCTTGATCGGTGTAGACTGCACAATATATATACGGATGAACCAGTCTGGATTTTCACCAAACCATCGACTACAAACAAGAATCCTTTCATTAATCGAAGATTTAAGGTTGACGGTAGCTGCATGTAATCGTCCTGCTCTAGTCATTTTCGTAGGGTTTTTATCTGCTTTCGACCGTATGTGGTTTTCAGATTTGATTACCCATTTACATGATCTGGACATGCCTCTACTTTTTATTCGATGGATTTTTTCGTGGTTGAAAAGTGGCTCTTTTTCAATATTCATTTTGGTAAAGCTACTTCAAGAAATATTAAAATGTTGGTAGGTGCGCCTCAGGGTTCAGTTCTTGCAGCTACGCAATTTAGGTTACATGTTCATTTTTTAGCATCGTTTTTCTTTCAAACAGTAACCCACTTGTTTG